AATTAGGTTGTGTACCTGAAATATTGTCCTCTGGCATTTGGTGAGGTTCCGAAATAGGTAATTCATCAGGTAATTCAGAATTAGGTTGTGTACCTGAAATATTGTCCTCTGGCATTTGGTGAGGTTCCGAAATAGGTAATTCATCAGGTAATTCATTATCACTAAATTCGTCAATGTCCATACTGTCCCCATTGTCAATCATTCTTTGCTCAGTTTCATTTATAATGCGTTGTATTAAATCCTTATTGTAATGATATATAGGCACCATTTGTTCTTTATTGTGAGACCGCCTGAAGCTACACACGATGGTCCTTGATTTTTTGCTAACATCCCATTCATCATAGCAAGATAAACAAAATTCTTTACCACAAACACAACACATCCAATACCCGCTAAATATAGTAGTATCACAACTATCACATAATTGACATATCGCCCTATTAGGGAGTTTGCGAAGGTTTGCATACTCAAAGTGAGCAAGTTCTTTTTTAAGAATTTTTCTAAATGTTGGGGCTATCATATCTTGCATTTCAAATAATAAAACAAATTTTAGGTAAATGGCATATAAGCACGTTAATGATAAAATCTTTTCGTAGGACTTTACCAAGAATGTAGCCCCGTTGCTCGTCTGTTGTTTCTTTAAAATCATAGTTATTATCTGGTTCGGGAATAGTGACTGATTGAAATTTTGGACCATAAACAAGTACATCAGTTTCCGTTTCAGGGTCTTTCTTGGTTCCAAAAATTCGAAAATTTATAAATCTGCACGTGTCAGTTTTCTTTGCTAAGCCTTACATATGCAGGAAAATATAATGATGTTAATTTAAAAACGCTTTTAAAGAAAAAATAAAAAATAAAAAAAACCTACATGATGCACAACGCTCAAAATCACCATATGCAGCATTCATGCACCGTCTGGATTGTACATGTGGGACACCCGGCACTTCTCGAGGATACTGCGGCTCTTTTGTCACTAAAAATTTTCTTGGTTTACTTTTATGACGTTTAGCATCTGG